ATGATTATCGCATCTCCCTCGAGAATGACACGCCCCCACGTATTTTCAATCGCAAAGCGAAGCCCGTAAATGAATGCCAATACCTTAGCAGATTCGGAAGATTGGGGGGATCCAATCTACGCGCGAGGCCACCCAAAACAAGTCCATTGTGATCACGAGCCACCACTCCTAGCATGGCTTCCCCGGAGCTTGGAAGGAAGCTCCCGTCAACATTAAGTTTGACGGTCTCCTCAACTATTTTCCATTTCAGATTTGAAGGGGGAAACGGAAGGCCGTCTTGAAGATTCGAAATTCCGGTTCGCATCCCCAAATTCCGTCAGCAGATGCTTTACCGTGACCAGATAAAAAAATTTACCTCTAGAGGTTATGTAAATCTGAGTATCTTTTCTGTTCTCATGTAAGGTCTAGAACTTGTCTTTTTTTTAAATTTGGTCTCATGATCAGCCTATTTGTCTTGTAAATTTTAAAATTTAAATTACGTCAAAAATCATTTTTTTAGGACAACCAATCCAGTTAAATAAAGCTGGAGATTAACATATATGATTTGAAATCATTATTTAAATATTTATACATATTTTGTAATCTACCTCCTATATATATACACACACGGATCAACATACATCAATAATTAAAAGGAATTATTGTTGTTTTTAGGGTTACGGGTTCGAACATCAGTGATTATCAGTGAAATCATTAATTAAACGTTCGTTATTAAATGGTTGTAAATATTTAAAACAAATATATATATATATGTATAGTTAAGACAAACCAAAGCAAAAATTAATAAAGAGAGTGGTTCCATATCAAGTAATAAAGGCAAGGAAGAAGATGATCCATCACTATCCGATGAGATTAAGCTTGGAACATGATTCCCAATAGGACCACCAACACATGCATTTCCCTATATATGCAGCTTTACCTGCTCCCACTGTGGTTTAAATTTCCCGAATCAAGCAAACTATCCTCCACAACATCTTCCTGCTGCTCATACTTTGGACACTACAGCAAGCAAACTATATATCCCACAATGATACCATAAGTGTCCAAAAATTTTGCTCATTATTGCGCCACAATTTCTTGCCCTGTAGAGGGAAACAGGTCCCTCTTTTACCAGCAATGTAGTTGAATTCTGACTTCATCTATTTCTTATAGTCCCAACGATGAATCAATCTTTTAGTTTATTATAAGACATGAAAGTTTTATTACAACCTAAGACCTAAGACTAGGAAGTTCACTTCTCATGTCTCCCATGAGGAATCGGAATATAATTATGAAGTTCAAGTGCCACGTTTAATTCAGACCGGAGAGTTGCAGACAGAAACATGAATCTTTTTTTATGGTTCCTTGCTGTTGGGAGAGGCCCGCATGTTTCCCTTGGAAGCATTACAGAAGAAAATAGCTTTGGATCTACCCACAACTGGGTTTGAATTTTGCATTTTGGCAGCCTACAAAATATTAGTGCACATCATCTTGAATATTCGGAGAGCGACTAGAGGGAGGACACTCAGGACAGTCGATATCTCTCCAAATTTCAAATTCTCATATATTTTATGAGCGTAAACAAGATGTAAAAATAAAAATTGACCCCTCTTTACATGAACATCTGGCTCAACCATAAATACATAAATTTAGATGAACAAATTTGAGAATCTCATTATTCATACGCTAGGACAATAATCAGTACTGAAAAAGTAAATGCGGTACCAGCAAAAACCAGAGGAGGCCCCCATGATTATAAACCTTTGTTTGCGTACAACATTAAAGGTAAAATGCCTTAGAAAAAGGGTAACTGCACTGAAGGATGTGAAGACTGAAGAACAAGTGCAACAAGGAAGCCAACTGCTGTGAAAAAGCAGCCCTTACAAAAGCATCTACATTCAATGGAAGAAGAAAGACCAATTGTTGAAACAACAAGCAAAAAAAAAACTACATTCATTAAATGCCATGACGCCATCCATAACACCTCAAACTCTAAGGCTCTAAGCTCCACCGACCCCATTGATCTCTCCTTCCTTTCTCACACTTTTCTCAAGTACACAAATCAATGGTAGCTGAGGATTTTAAGTAGAAAAAGACTGATAGAAAAGAACATTAACTCATAGTAAACTGCATGGAGAAACACACGTAAAGGAAATCAAACAATCTTATGTTTATATATATGTATAGAGAGAGAGAGAGCGACCACGGTAAAAATTATGGGTCTTCCATTTTCAGGCCACTTGCATTGCATTGCATGTCTCCACTTTGCCTCAAAGCGGCATTATCTAAACCTATTTCATCGTTGAAATAAAGCTTTCGAAAGGCAACAAAAATGAAAATAGATTTATAGCTAAAATTCAAGTTCCCATTAACATTACGAAATAACCTAATCTGAAACCAGACTTGATAATACTATTAACAATCCATCTCCAACATCATATTCACTATCAAAGTACCCATATATATATATATATAATCGCCATAAAATTAGCCAACTTTTTTGTTTCCTCTCTCAATAACACGAACAAGCTGTTTCTAGAGTTTCTTACCAAGAGTGTGCTTGTTATTATGCATCCAAACTTTCAAAACATGCCTTTTGACCCCAGTTTCGTTGCAGAACTGTTGAACAATCTCTTCATCGTGTTTTTGAAGGCGCCACCCTAACCTTTCAGCCAACGCCAGCATCTTATCCTTTTGTTCCTGCGTGAACTTTGTTCTGAATCTCTTCCTTGAGCTCCCTTGGTTGGAAAAGTCCTCTTGATCTTCCCTGCTGTGTCCTCCTGAGATTGACGGTAAAGCCAATGGCCTTTGTTGTCCAGCGACGTGGAGGTAACCCGTTGGTGCTCTAAAGTAAGGCGTGAATTGCGGTGGCTGGTGGTGGAGGTGGCGGTGGTGGGGGAAGTAGAAGTCCGTGGTGGGAAGCTCCGATTCCTTGCGGTGGAAGTTACGATGACAGTTGCAAGCAGCGCATCTGAGAGCGTCGAGGGTACCTTCAGTTCCTGCCGGCATGAACTCACCGCAACCATCGACAGCCTGACCGCCGATCCCCACGGCATGGTTTTTCAAGCACTCCCTATACCTAGGCTTCCTCTGCTGCTGCTGCTGTTGACCGGTTGGAGTAACTGAACCCGGTTCAACACCCGACATTCTGACTCTAGATGAGTTACCCAGCGAGTCGTAACTCTGGGCCAAACCCATCTCCTCTTCTTGCTCTTCTTGATCCTCAAACTCCATTTCCCTCCTTCCCGATAGAACAATGATATATTTTTTAATTAAAAAAATGAAACTTTTTTCCTGATTACCGGAAAAGAAGACGATGATAAGAGGAGTAAGAGAGAGAAAACATAGTTTTTATTTTCCTTTCTTTGTGGGTGATGTTCCTCTTTTCCTGTCTATCTATCTGCAAAATGATTTTTTTTTTGGATTTTGGTTTCAAAGGGGCGTTCGATTATTCTTCATATAAGACTTCCCCTTCCTCTGAAATCAAAAGAAAAGAAAAAAAAAGGGTTTGTTTGGTTCAGGAACGTAAGATTATCAGCGGGAATAAAAGATTATCAGGGAATATGATTACTGAGAATGTTGTATTTTGTGTTTGGTTGGTTTAGTAGGAATATAAGATTACTGTGTTTGGTTAAATAAATAAAAGATTATAAGAATGTATATTTGACCAAATTATCTTTATTATATATTTGTTTTTTAACAAGTTGGAAAATATTTATATATTTCCTTTAAAAAAATTAAATTTATATAATTTATATAATTTTTTTCAAAATTGAAAATATAAAAATGTTTAATGAAATGGTAAAATTTTATTTTAACTCTTGAACTTCATATAAAATTTTAATTATAGATTTTTTTTGTAAATCTAAAATAGTTTAAGGATAAATTTGTAATTTAACCTTCGTAGAATTTTAATTATTTAATGACAGAATAATGATATTTTTGAAAGAAAAAAAAATTTAAAGGTATTTTAGTTCAAAACACCGGTAATCTAATAATACCTAAGGAAAGGGAGGCAATAACATTCCCGGTAATATACCCCAAAAAATTTACTATTGGTAACGTAAGATTCCCGGAAATGACACTCCCGACCAACCAAATGAGAGAATGTGAATTTCATTCCCATAAAAATCTCACATTCCTCAACCAAACACTCTTAATATTAAGTCATTGTGAATATAAATTTACCTTTTTGTTTCCACTGTGGAGTGAATAAGAGTGGCTACAGTGAAAATATGAGGGGTTCTCCACTATTGGCTACAGTTGCAGGGAAAATGGATTCCAACCCATCACGCGCCAGACCACTCACCTCCGTTGCGAGAATGAAATTTTGAAAAGAATAATTATGAGATAGTGTTTATTTTAAAAAATAATTTATTGATAATATATATATTCTCAGTTACTTAAACTTAAATCTGTGATTGGAATTAGCTCCATCGTTTGTTACTTTAGCAAGCGATCTTGCATAGTTTCTTTGTTGTAGTTTGATATTATTTAAGAGGCTTTTGATTAGGATCGGGTATCTCTAAAGAAGTACGTGGTTTCTTGGATTGCAGTTAGTTTGTTGCAAAGTTTTTTTTCCTTCTAAATACTCTCAATTATTTGACGATAAACACTCAATCATCATGCTGCAGGCGTTGGTGCTCGAATTCCGTGACCTCTAGCAACAACAATAATTCTTTTAACCACTAAATTAAATTGATTCGTCAGACAACCGATAAATGGGGAACCAAACAAATCCCAAGTAGCCATATGGAGGAGATACAAAAGTTTTAGGCACTTGTATCATTCTTCAAAAACTTTTAACCCTAGTACAAGTTTACACTTTTTGCTTCCTTTTATATGTCATCACATTTAAATTAACTCAAAGTATGGGAAAGTCCGTCGTTGGTAAAATAATGTAATGCTATGAAAGTATTATATATTAATCTTTGTTTTTATATATATATATTTTTTTTTGGATAAGTAACTTATATTCATCCAAAGAAAGCAGCAAAAGCTGCAACAAACAACGGTAAACACTATATCAGTCCCCAACTCATATACAAGTGCCTATATACATCATCTCTTCTATGTGTAGAGTGTCTATACAATTTGTAATGGACAGTTTCTTTAATCTTTGTAACAACCGCATCAACTGAACGCGAAACCCTCCTAAAAACTCTATGGTTACGCTCCTCCCAAATGTGATACAAATAAACAGTCCAGGCAAGCTTTAAAAACCTCACTCGAGGGGACTTACCCCTCAAATTCTCAACCAGCCAATCCATTCGTTCATCCCAGTTGTACAGACCAGAACGAATCCCACACACGACAAGAACAGCATCCCAAACCTCCTTAGCAAAGGAACAGTTAGCAAATAGGTGGTCACGTGTTTCCAGCCCATTGCCACACATAATACAGCCATTGTCCATTTCCAGACCAAAACGAATCAACCTGTCCTTAGTGGGCAGTCTATTAAGGATGACCATCTATGAAATGAGAGAGCATTTCGGAATATGAGCAGGGAACCAAATGACTTTGTGCCAGTTAACCTTCTCTCTGCTAGTTCTGATATTTTCCCATATCCATTTGCTACTAATTAAATGCCAATCAGTGCTAGGAAGAAACAAAGTTCTAGCCACCTCGCGAAGCTTCAGCAGTTTTTTTATAATCCAACTGAAATGGCCTTTACAGATCACTTCCCAAAAACTCACAGCTTTAAAACAATACTCTTTAATCCAAGCTATCCAAATAGAGCCTTCATTAGCCAGAATGTTTTTGATCAACAACAAGCAACATGCTTTACTCCACAGAGATAGGTCTCTAAGACCCAGACCACCCTCAGACTTCAATGAACAAATCTGGTTCCATCCAACACGAGCTCCTCTGGCAGGAGAGTCACTGCCCTTCCAGAAAAACCGCATGCATAGCCTCTCAATGTCCCTGACAATCCCCTTGGGGAGGATGAGCTGTCTACTCCAATAATTGAAAATACTGTGCAGCACAGTCTTGATCAGCTGAAGCCTACCCCCAAAGCTAAGCTTCTTGCTAGACCATTGGGAAAGCTTATCCCTAATTCTCACCAAAAGAGCAGCACAATCCTTGCTGGAAAGTTTCCGAGTGACCAGAGGCACTCCAAGATATCTAACAGGTAATTGAGCCACTCTAAATCCAGTAACAGAATGTATCTGAGCAAGGGAACTCCCACTTAAACCACAAGCGAACAGTTCCGTCTTCAGAGCATTGAGCTTAAGTCCTGACAGAGAGTAAAACCCCTCAAGGGTGCATTGGACCCCAAGTACAGATTCAAGGGAACCATGACAGAACACAAGGAGATCATCAGCAAAGCTAAGGTGAGTTAGGGAGATTCTTCTACATTTCGGATGGAATCTAAAAATTCCAAGCTTAACAGCTTTGTTCAGCATAGCAGAAAGAACATTCATCACCATGACAAAAATATAAGGAGACAAGGGATCACCTTGTCTAATCCCCCTTGCCCCCTTGAAATACCCCACCAAGCTACTATTCAAGCAAACAGAATACATAGGGGTAGTAATACACTCCCTAATCCAGTAACAGAAAACTTCAGGAAAGCCCATAGCCTCAAAGACAGACAGCAGAAAGTCCCAGTTAATGGAGTCAAAAGCCTTTTGCAAATCAATTTTAATAGCACATCTAGGAGATAGTCCATTCCTAGAGTATCCTTTCACAATTTCCTGGGCTAAAAGGGTGTTATCAACAATGCTCCTACCCTTTACAAAGGCTGATTGGTTATAGGAAATCATGCTAGGGAAATAAGGAGTAAGCCTATTAACCAGGATTCTAGTGATGGTTTTGTAAACTACTGAACAACAAGAAATAGGTCTAAACTCCTTTGCCATACATGCATTCAAAGACTTTGGGACCAGGACTAATATTGTAGCATTAAAAGCAGGCAATAAACAGGAAGATTGGAAAAAATATCGTACGTCAGCAATAAAATCACTGCCTACAATGCTCCAGGCAGATTTGAAGAAACCAGAAGTATAACCATCAGGGCCAGGGCTTTTGTCCTTACCTTGCTTAAAGAGAGCATCTTTAATCTCCAAATCACTGACCTCCTTTGTAAGGAAGGTATCTGCACCATCAGGGAAAGAGTAGTTCAGAAGGTCCTTCAAAGCTTCAGCTGAACACCCTTTTACAAGAGAATCAGGGGAGCCAATGAGGTTGATGAAATAATCCACTAGCTCAGTAGACATTCCTTCAAAAGAATCATAGCACTGCCCATCCTCACTCTTAATAACCCTAATAGTGTTCCTCTTCTTGTTGGAGAGGACCCTTTGATGAAAAAACTTTGTATTCAAGTCACCCTCCCTTATCCAATGGACCTTGGCTTTCTGTCTATAGAAAACAGCTTCAGCAACTTCTAAATCAACTAAATCAGCATAGATCTTCCTTTCTTCATCAATCCTCCTCTGGTTAATGTGAGCTAGATTGAAAATCTGAATCTGCTCCAATTCTGCCCTCTTATTCTTGACTCTACCAGAGATATCAGCAAAATAATCCAAATTAAACTGCTTAAGAACAGGCTTAAGTCTTTTCAACTTGTTGAATAAGCAGCTCATAGCATCACCAGCACATTGGCCCTGCCAAGAATCCCTAACAATATCTAGGAATTTCTCATGATCAGACCAAATGTTAAAGAACTTGAACGGCTGAGGGTTCTTTGCCATAATTCCCTTATGAGTCCACATCATACCCAGGCAATGATAAACAAAGCTTCTTCTCCTCATTCTTATACTATCATACAAGTCCGCATGCAGAACAGTGATGGACAGTCTAATCATATAAAAATAAATGTCCAAATAATTTTACATTATAATTCTTCGTTAAATAAACCCACTACTCCAAAGCAAAGATAATTGACATATGAAGTGACAATCGTTGACTCCCTTGACTTTGATGAACTATTATGGGTAAATTACTTAAATAGCCACTCAATTATGAATTGGTGTAAATATGATGATCATATTTTCAATTTTGATAATACAACTATTTAAGTATTTTTAATGTAATTGCTTGTCGTTACAAAACAAATGTTGTAGCCTATTTAATTAGATAATGATTTTCGTAATAATTTTAACAAATAGTTTTCACCAATATTTTTATTTTATTTTAAAAGTTTAATATTGATTACAATTTTTTAAATAGGTGACGGGATTAAAGCCTGGTTATTCATTTTAGTTAAAACATACTTTTAGTCAAAAGTGTTTTTTATACAATGAATAATCAATAACAAATAGTTTTTTATTTTCAATTCAAACGTAAAATCTAAAATATTATAATTTTTTAAAATATTTTAGATATAAGATTATTAAAACATCCTCATTTTATTTTTATTTTTTATAATTATTATACTTTGTAAATTTAAAATATATATTTTAATTCTCCATTTTTTTAAAAGGTAAGTTGGTTTCTTTTGAAATAGAAGGAACCCGTAAAATAATAAGGTCTGGTACAACAGAAAAGAGTCAAAAGACCCATTCATCCTAATTTTTTTTTACGATAATGATAAACATTTAATATAACAAAATATATTTTTTATAATATTAAAATATTTTAAAAAAAAATACTTATTAACTCGATCACAATAAATAATTAAGTGTAGGATTAACCGTCAGTTGTCGTTTCATACATTTTAACCCTAATGTTTTTTGTTAAAACCGTACTATTAAATTGGGAAACGGAATTTCAAGAGTTGACCACACTGCGTCTTTCTTTTTAATCTATATTTTGTACTTAGAAATCGGCATTTTTATCCAAAAAATCACCCAAAAATTAATAATTACATGTCAAGCACCTTTATTCAAATATTATCGATCTAGCTCCCATTTCAACAGAGTGGTAATAAAGCGCATTGCAGGATATTACAGGATGCACGTCTTGCAGACATGGACGCAAGGCACAGATCATGATGTGCGCCTTCCTGGAGTTCTGTCCGAGCTGACGTTACGGTGGAAAAGTCCATATTGTAATATGTGCCTTCGCGGGGTTTTCTGACACGTCAAAAAGGCATGGAGTATGAATCGAGCCTTCGATTATTCCTCCTCAATTATTTCACATTTTATTATTACCGCAACTGCCTTAAATCCTAGACGATCCCTCCCCCTCCCTATAAATACCCTCAAATCCAAATATCAATCCACACCAAAATTACATTAACATTCTTCCTATTTTGTTATAGTTTTTACAAGGTAAAATTATTTTTATTATATTATATTTATTTCATATATAATTTATTTGACCAAATTTTATTGTACTAATTATTTTTTATTACTTTTTGCAGTTGTAAAATATAAGACATGATCATATCTCGAGATATTTTGTTGATACGATAATAATATTAAATTGGGTTATTTAAATTATTGTGAATATTTTTTAATTTTTTAGTAGTAGTTTATATTTTAATTCATATATTATTTATTTCATTATGAGAATGATCGCATATTAAAAACAATTATTCGTTTTTGCATATATAAGACTTTCAATCTTTCAAACTCTCAAAACGATACGTATTTCAGCTATTGTTTACTATAATGGAGAAATTCGGAAAGATGAAATCGGCGTTATCTTCACATCAAATTATTCTATCACCTTATCCTTCAAGAGAAACATCACTCTTGAGGAGTTGATCACTAAAATTTCAAAGAAGGTTCATGTTGAAAGTACTAGAAGAATGTCCTCACTTCAGTACATATTTCCAACTGCACTATTTTCGTTAATTTATATAACATTTGAACTCTCCAAAGATGACGATGTTGCTATGATGGTTTATGCTCAGAATTAAAATTCAGACGTTGTTACACAAATGTATGTCACATGTATTAAAGTGTTTGCGGTTCGTGGTATGTAATTAGTCTCCCACTATGGGCTGGCTAAACAAGCTGATCAATTTGACAACCCAACTGTAGTAATGTGTGATGATTTTAACTCGTTAATGGGAAATCAATATCCTGGTACCATCTCATCAACAAGTTGTTACGATCTCAATCATTTTCATTTTTTATGGGAACTTAACAGTAAGTACTACATTTGACGTGCATGGTACGAACTACTACCTCAAACGTTTGAGTCCATGCTTCAATATTTACGAGGAAAAGACGAGCAAGGATACACTTACATCAGCCTCATCAACAAAGAAATGTGGACAAATACATATGATTGTGGATATCGATATGAACATATGACAACCAACTTGGTTGAGGCTATCAATTCGACCTTAAAGGGGGTGCCATTTATCAGTAACTACTTTGGTTAAAACGACATATTTTCGTTTGGGTGCGCATTTTGCTAAGATCAAGGGACAAGCTCAAACTTGGATTTAAAATGGTCATGTTTATCACCCAAGATTAGTTACAAATCTACAAAAAAAGGATTTATGCATCAAATGGAATGTATGTAACAAGCTTCTCTTGAACCCATGAATTATTTCATGTCATAGAAATGTCAT